TATCCGCAGATACACAGAAACTCTTCTAGTTAAATTCAAGGCATTGATATATTGAATTTAAGTCTCTCAAATGTGCATGCAAAAGAAATAATTCATCTGAAAGTGACCTGGACAGCAAGTTTCTAAGTAATTTCATTCTCTTTACCAGGAAGGTTACAGGACTGCATGTAACCTAACTGTTGATGTTGCGTATTCCTAAGACTACAAGTAAAATTAAACTCTATGTCTGGACTGATGGTATTCGGTTATTTATAGAGGARTGGCTAGCAGATTGGTTTCTTGCTATGCTCTTCAGAATGGTCATAGAGTAACTCCCACACGTTGTCAGATGTTCCACACAGTTCTAAAAATTACATCAAGTTCTACAGAAACCACAAACAAGTTTATTAACATTCTTCTATTTGCAACAAAGTCATTGGATGTTASAGAACTGCTCCACAAAAATTTACTTTCTTTATGGTTGCCTCACATCAATCACAGGTCCCTTTATTCCAGATGGTGCTACAGAGTTTAACAGAAGCTCTATCCTAAAATTGGTCTCATGATTATGAGACAAATTATCCTCATAAAATCTCTAAGAGATATCCACATTTCCTCTCCATTTCCCTTCTCACAAATCCCATTTCACAATTTATCACATCCTTTTTAGTAATGTTTTGGTTGTTTCAACCTGTTGAGGAAAGTCATTTTCAGATGAGTTTATGGAAGAAACACACCACTTAAAGACCGCTCAACTGGTTTGATTAGCTCCCACTTCATACAGATGGCATAAAAAATACAAAAGTAACTATAGTAAAAATAATTTCTAGTATACATAAATATATTACAGAAAGACATGTGGATGTTTGCATAAAGAATAGGATTAGAAAAGTTAATGAAATAACTGACGGGAACTATAAAACCTTCTGTAAAAACAGTATAGGACCATAGTTTCCTAGCAACAAAATTCTCTCTGCTTTCTCAGGGTATCACGAAGTTGTGGAATCCTCCTCCTACACATAATTTGAAATCAGGGATGAAAACAAGGATGACCCATCATGCAGACTGCAAGCAGAAAACTGTTTCAACGCTTGCTGAAAAACAGCTCAGGAACAAGCAGCATCTGTTGCTGGTTTAACTGTATTTTGCTTGCATCTTAGCCATCGTCAAATGCCCGAGCGTTACCATAAGATAATCAACTATAATAATAGATGAGAAAACACAAAAAAGAAAAGAAAAAGAATGCTAAATTTCAATGCAGCTTAAATGATCACTATGAGAGTTAAATCCACCTGTAACGAAAATAAAAATTGCAGGTGAAATAAGTACCTAATTTATTAGAGTTTTAAAATAAGAAGACCTGACTCACTGGTCTTTGAGATAGGAGAGCATCATGACCTAAACCATAAAATTTCTGAATAGAATTTCTTAATCAAAAGAATTTTCTCACTAACAGAATTAACACATACACTTTTGGTCTGGGAAGGTATATAACACTTCTCTGGCATCCAAAAGTATCTGCAGAAAGAACCAATAAGCAAGCCTGAAACCTAAGAGCTCTCACAGGCAGATCTCCAGCACGCAGATGCAATGAGCAGGCAGAGGAGGATTTCAAATAAATTCCATATGGAAATAAAATCAAGACCAGATGGAATTAAAATGTGAATGGAAGAGCCATACAGCAACATAGTCACTACAGAGAGCATCATGTAACTGGGAATATATACAGCACATGGGGTAGTTGCAATAGCTTGTGTTACCAGCCTCCCTGGTAAGTCATATTTGTAGAGATTTGCAGGAAGATGCATTAACTGGGCCTTGAGAAACAACATAACAGCATCTAAATTTCCAGACAATCTTTACACCTACCGTAAAAGCAAGCATATTTCTCACTACTTCTGGTTAAAAATAAATAAATAAATAAAAAGGAAACATAAGCTATAGGTCTATAAATATAACAGTGAAGATGTAATTGTACAGTTTATACTAATTGCAAAAGAAATACTCTACTTTTCCACATGCAGTTTTATTTAAGGTGTATCCAGCTAGTACATACACTGCTGTCAATAAAGCTTTTGCATCTTTCTCTGTACCAGCACTGTAATAGATGGAAACTATGAAGGTAAGAGCTCTGAGCTTGTGGAACTTTCCAGGTCACATGTTAAACCAAGGGCTGGACTCTACTGGGCAGAAAAATATTAATGAAAAAAATTGAAATCAAACCAAAACGCAGAATTCTAACCATATGTTTTGAAATGAAACAATGTGCTCATTCTACTTCAGCTAAAAACTTTAATAACTGCTTTACAGTTAGCAGCAATAAGATCTTGAAAATCCGCATTTACTGTGGAATAGAAAGTAATTACAGTACCGTAATGAGAATGCCCCATGTATATATCACAAGTCTGATGCAACATAATATCACATTATTCCACTTCCATTATATTATTTGTGCGATTACACAAGCAAAAAAAAAAAAAAAGGACAAACTGAAATAAGTGGAATTCAGTTTAAGTTAACTACTCCAGATCAAGACTTCATTTTTCACCATCCTTTGAAAGACAAATCTATCCTATATCTGACTTAACTGTGATCATTTAGCAGCAGAGATGCATTAATTTTCAGAGTTTAACATTTAATTACAGTTATAGACAGTTTGTGACCTCAGGAAAAAAAAAATAGAAAGTTAGCAGATAATTTCTCTTATTTTGGCCAGTTTCTCTGGAAAGTAGAGTCCAGCACCTGGAACACCCTGGAAGCACAAATATAGTGGCACTGTGCACATACCAGCATATTATATGACCTAGAATATTCACTGTATCTGGCAGTCTCCTCTCCTGCTGGGGAAGCACCAAGGGTTCCATCCCTAGCTAAGCCTCTACAATATTCATTCTACTTCTTTTTACTAATTACAGTTATCAAGTCAGAAGTTGTCTAGTTTAGAAATTACCATTGGAATTTCACATAGAAAAAGACAGTCCCTAAAATATATTATACTCTAATACAAACTTATACTTGAACTCCTATCTTCCTTCATGGAGAAGATTTTTTATATTTTGCATCTGTGGTGGTAATAAGAAACAAAAATGTTCAAGTCTTCCCTGATCTCAGATTCTGTTCTCAGTGATGTATCTGGGACAGTCTTTCCTGACTGTTGATCCCATATTTTTCCTGCATCTGTATCACCTTTCATACCATGCCTGCAACTTATCACTTACCTTCTATTAACTTGAGCAATGCATGGATATGCATTCTTAATTTGCATTGCCTCTTAGACTTACATATACAGGTTCTTTCTTGAATATTATTTAATTGCTGGGCTATAACCAGTAGCATGTGGAATGCTATTACAAATTCAGTGAAAGAAATTACAAAAAGTCAGAGGAGGAGAGAGGAGGGGGAAAAAAACAAACAAAAAACCACTATCTTAASAAAATATTATAGGGCCCAGGATATAATAGCAACTTTCCAAATCACTTTACTCTTACCTTTCACCACAGAGTTTTAAGGTTTTTGCAAAATAAGAGACAAACCTTTGATATAGAGTTGAATCCTGCAAAATATCTAAATTAAAGGTAACAACCTCCAGGCCAGAAAGCTTGAGGTCTGTTGTCTCTGTAGGCTCAACATGATTTGAGAGCAGGAGAAGCAAGCTAGGATTCACTCTGGACACTGCAAATTCTGGCTTCATTTTTATTGTAGTTCTTACACTCAGCATTGCAGAGAATGAGGAATTAATGAGAAGATCTMTCTGTATTCCTTTTTAAATTTTGGAAAGGTTTTTTTTATGTATTACATACACTATATTAGAAAAAGTCTTCACATTTGTCACAAATATTTGGCATAATCTGATGGCAATAGATAATTTCAATTTCACACAGCTTCTAAGCAGCACCCTGGCATTGCTTCCTTTGGAAACATGAGGATCTGCACAGTTTGGGAGAGAAAAGAGGGAAAAATCTTTGGCCTACAACTACAGAAGCAAGCCTCTGGCAGGAGCCTGCAAAAATCTACAGGAAACTGTTCAAGGCACCGTCTGGCTCTTAGGACATGACATAATCTGCGGCTTTTAACTGAGGTTTGTTGTAGGATTCATTTTGAGTTAGAAAAGCAGTCCTACTACTTTTAGTCTAGTTAAAAAATAAAAATAAAAAAAAATAAAAAAAAATTAAAAAAAAAATAAAAAAAGAGTGATCTTTGGCCAGCAACTGCATGCAAGCGTAGAAAAAGAGTAAGAATCACCAGAGAATGAAAGGTCTACCTCATCTAAGCAGAGTGCAAATCTCAGCCATCTGAATGAAGGGATGGTTCAGAACTGCAGCACCTCACAGGACATWGGTAAAGCCTAAAGAATCTACACTGCAAACTTTTCAGTCTCAGAATCAAAACCGATCTTCCATCCCTGCCTTTATTTACCTAATGTTGCACCTAATGTTCCTGAAGCTGCAGACAACCTGCAAACAAGTAACAGCAAAATTCACTCCTCTGATACATGGACACCAATACCCTGAAAAGTTCGACACTTTYGCAGTAGCCTCTACAGTTTCAGTGATTAATTTTTGAGGCAATAGAAGGGAAGCAGCAGAGGAGGCCCGTTTTTGAGGGGAAGAGCTGCCCWTTGCTCCTCTCTGCGCCCCACAGGCCACTCTGAGGGGCAGCCTGGAGCTGCTCGGGTGGGTCACGGCGGCAGCCGGCGGCCCGCGGGCCCCGCTCCCCGGAGGGGGCCGGCTGCGAGGACGGCGCCGCTTTCGGGCCAACTTGTGCAGGGAGCTCGGCAGCCGGCGCCGTTCCCGCCGCGCCCCCGCTCCCTCCTCCCCCCGGCCGAGCCCGCCCGTCTCCGCTCCTCCTTTGCAGCCAATGGCACTAGGCGGGGTGGCTGCATGTGGTGGCGCGGACCCAGCGGCCGGCAGAGGAGGCGGCTGGCTCTGCTCGGCACTCGCTCCCTTCTCCCGTTCCCCTGCCCCGGGCAGCGCTCCTGCGAGCGGCGCCCGCCGCCCTCCCCGCGCTCCCCGCTCGGAGCCTCTCGCCGCCGGTACCTGCAGCATGGACTCGGACTCCGGGGAGCTCAGCGAAGGCGAGCTGGTCTCACCCGCAGGTAAACGGGGGGAAGGAGGGCACGGCTSCCGCCCTCGGAGCCGGCACCGCAGCCAGGGGCTGGAGGGTCAGGAAAGGGGCGTCCTTCTCACCCCCTTCGGGCGTTTCGTGTGGGGGCTGCACGGCAGGGCTGCCGAGGAGGCACCGCCGCCGTCCCGCGTGGCGCGGCGCTCAAGCCGCTTCGCCTGAGGGTAGCGACTCGCTGCCGCCTCACGAGCCCCGCCAACGGCCGCCCAACGGCCCGGCGCGAGCCCCGCCAACGGCC